CTCCCTGCCCCAGGATCTTCTCACAGTCCCAAAGTGAATTATGAGATTAAACACCAAATAAGAGAAAAATTACGCTAAGCTGTTGAAAATATTTGATTAGGAGTTGGAAGGTCTGAGTAGTTATTCTGGATCTACTTTTAACCAGCAGTGAGGGACCCAGGTGGAAGCGAATCAATTTTCCACACCACTCTGGAAAAATTAAGTGCCAGAGCAGATAATTTCTAAGGTCCTTCCCAGCTTTCATGCCCCATGATGAAAAGATGGCCTCAGGAGGACCCATGGCAACTGAGGAAAAACGGTGGAGCAGCACTCCTCTCTTGACATGCCTGGCCAATGGCCATGCCTGGCCAACACTGCATTGTTTATAGATGTAAAGCAGAAAAGAAAACACACATTTTACCCAACCATTTCAATGTCATTAGGCTGTATCAAGAAACTTGCCACATTTTCCTGTCTGAACAAACCATGTGGCCTTAAATGGCTAGGGTTCACGACTAAGTTTAACTGGCAACATCTAATCACTCGTGCTCTAATTCCTAGTCAACTGAAGTGAAGACTTCCATCAATAACACTGCAATATCCACAAGGAAAAAAAAAATCGAGAGGTTTAACTGCACCCTGCAGACAGTGATTTCATTTAGTAAAAGGAAGCATTTCTATAGGGTAGAAAAGCAAACTTCCCAAGGACAACTTTTTATATTTCCCTATCTACTACTATTTTGGATTTAATTTTGTTTCATAAAACCTTATTAATATGAAACATGACACTTAGTCTCATAACCTCCTAAGATTCACTCATTCTCTGTATGGGGGAGAAAGCTGAGGTAAGCTGCTTTGTCTCAGGTTTGCACTAGAGAGAGCCTGACCAGACCTCTAGGTCTTTCTAGGACAGTATCCAATTCTACTGGTCCCCATTACCTCTTTCACGTTTCACACTTTGTCAGCACAAAACATCTGATAATGGTATTTTAAATGTCCCTCTAACCCAGACACTATGCTAACGTAGAAGCCAGAAACAGTGCAGCACTTGGTCTTCACCCCACCTCAACACACACACTTGGAATCCTTTCATTTTCCAAAACCTTGAAGGTGTATGTTATAGAGATTTAGATGGCTGTCATGCGTGTTTAAATTCTGGACCTCTAAGCAGAATGCTGCACAGACAGTCACAGCTCAAGTTACTCTTTCTGGACTCACCCCTGTCAAACGAGTTAAGGGGTAGAAGTCCCCACCCTCAACCTCTCTGGAACCCTCAGCTTTGCAGAATTTTTTTGATGGCAGTGAATACCAGTTCCTCTGTCCATACAGCAACCTTGTGATAAGCACAAGAGTGTCACACTGCTCCAAGTTGCTATCACGGTCCCAGAAAATGCTCTCTACCTCTTTTGATGTCATCCAGCTGAGGTTCAGGTGAGGGGTTATCTTTCAACGGAGAAGTCTTAGGTCCAACTGGAGGCTTCGTTGGAGCTCTGAATGGCATAAGTGGTGGAGGAGGTGGCGGCAGCGGCTGTGATGGTTGTGGGGGACGAGCAGGCTGTTGTTCCATTCGAGCCTGGATTTTACTGCTCCCCTCAGCTCTGAAATGAGTACAGAAATTAATTTGGAAGAGTGAAAACTTCGGAGGGTTCTCCAACGTCAGGTGGCAGAGCACTTGCAGAAACCCCTGCTCTCTACAGACCTGGTACTTGTCATTTTATCACATGAAATACACAAACCACTCATTCAACAGCTGAATACTGAATGCATTATGTAATGCATTATATCCCAGGGATAGAGATGAATAAAATAGACTTGCTTCCCTTAGGAACTCACATTTTATAGCAGGAAGCAGATAAAACAGGTTTGTAGGATGCAATGGATTATGAGAACCCATTTTACCAGTAAAAAAATACAATTTTACTTGTATGCAATATAAAGTTACAACTGCAAGTGCAAGATTACCTAAATAAAATTAGCTCCTAAAATACTGGCCAGTTTGCAAATTTTCCGATTATTACTTACTGCTTGCTCTTTCTGTCACCTGCCAGCTCTTGCTGGTGGACAAGCAAAGAGTACCACCCCAAATTCAGAAAATTCTATCCATTAAAACTTTCTTTTCTAAACGGACTAGCCCAGCACTTCTCAAACTCTGGTGTACACACAAACGACCTAGGGGAATCTCATTAAAATGCAGGTTCTGACTTGGAAGTTGCCAGGGGATGGAATGTTGTTGGTCCCCAGATCACTAAGTAGTAAGAGAACAGACCACAACTGTCAGGTATCGGAGGAGTAACAGTGGTACCTGGCTCCCTGCAGATAATTAATAATCAGAGCAGCAGGGGAAGAGCGAGGGCTTTGCAGCACACTGCCTGGGTTAGATATCAGCTCGACCACTCGAATTCAGGTAAATCACAATCTCTCTAATCCTCAGTCTCATCTGTTCTGTTCTGCTCTTTAGTTAACTGAATTGTTCACATAAAAAAATCTTGACATGGCAAATATTACATTAGATATAGCTTTACAATTTAAAAAATGAACAAAAAAATTTATCGGAACCGAGTCGACGGCACCTAACAACGTATAAATAAAGACAGCGATGGGTTAGTATATAGGTGTATTACTCTTTAAATCCAACAAGCTAAAATCTGAATTAAAAAAATGAGGGATGAATATTTATTTCACTAATTAAGTCTTCATAAACTAGCTCCATTAAAATGTTTAAATGACTGGATTTATGAACATTTGTTTTATATTCAATTTAGTAGGCATGTATTGAACACAAAGTAAGAAAGTATATCATGTTATAATAAAAGATGCTTAGAAGTGGTCTAAAAAAAAAAAAAAAAAAAGGAAAGTAATAGTACCTTCCTAAAAGTAACTTGTAAAAATTAGATAAGCTAATGCATGTAAAGCATCTAGCATAGTGCCTGGCACATGATAACTACTCAACAAATGGTAGCTATTTTTGTTTTTTGTGTAATGAGTGAATGAAGAAAAATGGCTTGAGGAAGCATAGACTGAAAAAATCAGGTAGTAATACTCTCTCTAGAACTTCATTACTGTCTTACAGTAATCACTGTATTACAACATTACAAATAGAACCAGTTGGTTACTTCTAATTATAGGCTGAATTTTGACTTTCAAACAAAATCTAACTGGCTTCATACCAGACATAGAATGCCTCCCAGATTATATGTTAAGGAGAGTTCATTATTCAAGAAAACAAGCAAAGCTTTGTTTTGGTATTACAGTGATCACAAATGTATCTTGTGAAAAACCCATGTTTTCACCCTAATAAAGAATATATTCTTCAATTATTCTTTTATAAGTCTGTAAATTTAAATCTTACCCTTAGTGGTACTATATGAACAATGATGAAATTAATAATATTGGTTTAATTATAAAGTATATCCCATCCCAACAGCTATAAACAGTTTCCATGTTTCAGGTCTTAAAAACAGTATTTCTTTTTATTGTATTTGAAGAAAAGATTTATTTTATTGACTAGTCTTAGATTATATAGATAAGAGTGTTGACAGAACACTATGAGTAAGAAAATGATCATCACATCCGTAAAAAATTACTGAATAGATAATACAAAGGTACAGCAACATCACACAAGTCTGTGTCCAGTTATTCACATACCTTGTTTTCTTGACCTGAATGCTGCTACTGAGCTTTTCCAGCACATATTCACCAGTGTCATGATTAATAATGAGCACACAATCTTTCTGATAGGGCCGTTTGTTCCCCTTGAACACAGTCATTGGCGGTGTGGATCCCTATTTACAAAAGTATGAGATGATCAACTAAAACACATATAAATACCAAAACTAAATTTATAGATGTCTCTACTTCATCAAATCTTTTATCAGAGCCACTCAAAAAAAGCAGAATAAACTGATTTCTATTTTAACTCCTTCTGGTTTCCCAGGCAAAACAAAAGGAGAAATAATATAGTAAGAATCCATGCCTGCACAACTAGTTCTAAGCAATCAAGAAAAGTAACATAAATGTTTTAAATTACTGTACATTTTTTATGGATTGGGAAAATGTTACAAATAACGGTAAAGTGTGAATTAAGAAAAATAACCTAGCCATTACTTGTATTACACTGAATAGAGATGTCACTGTGGGAACAGTCACTATATTTCCTTATAATTTGCAGAGTCTAGGGCTTCCCACTCATGCTAAGTAACCAAAAAGAGCATTCTCCAAGGGCAGGTCATTATCCCAAGTAGCACAGAGTAAACACATCATGTCACTCACCTGCTGAAACCCTTCAATTGTTCCCCCATTGCTCTAGGCTAAAAAACAAAACACTTAGAGCAGTCATCTGGCCCTGCACCACCTGGCCCTTCCCTAATTCTCCACCTTCCCGCTGCACCACTCACCCCCGGCTCTTTGGGCTCCAGAGCTGAGGGCGGCTAGCCTCTCCCATCCTCATGCTCTTTTCTGCCTCAGGGCTTTGACAAAAGCTACATCTTCTGCCTGCAATATCCTGCCTCTCCCTCTCTTTACTTACTCAACCTTCAGATCTGCTCAAAGGTCACTTCCTTAGGGAAGCCTTCCCTGATTGTCTAAAGTGTTATTTTTTCTTGTATTTATTTAAACTCCAAACCATAAGCTTCCTGGGGTGAGAAATGTTTTTGTTCACGGTTGTATTTCCAGTGCCTAGTAGTGAGCCAGCACATAGTAGGTGTTCAATATCTGTTTAATACTGAATATAGAATATCTTGCTTAGAATAAAGAACTGCTTGGCTTGTTGACTCCTTATTCATACCGTAAAAAATTTAGAGTTGGAAGGGACCTTAGGAACCATTTATCCAACCCCTTCATTTTACATTTGGGAAACTAAAGTCCAAAGGGAGGTGATGTAACCTGCCCTAGGCAACAAGTAATAAAACTGAATTGCCGGGCAAGTAATTGTTCCCTAGCAGAAAGCTTTCCAGGTTTCCCTGTCCACAGCCTTTTCTTTTCATTCTATCACCAGTTACCGAGAACTTATTATATACCAGGACAGGGCTATAGCATGCAATGACACAAGTTCATTAACAGCATTTTGTCTGACCCTTCAGGCAGGGTTTCACAAAGGTCTTTCTCTGCAAGGTTCTCAACCTAGCTTTTAACTGGGTTCCTCATCCCTAAATTAGGTGAATGCTCTGAACCTCTGGGTCATACCTGATCCCTGATCCCTTGTCAGACATCTGAAAGATGTCAGCCTGGCTCCTGCAGGCCTTAACTCCTGGTTTGGCTGTCTTGCACTCCTCAACTGTTGTTGCTATATAACAGCATGGGCTAGGACCTCTCTCCAGAGTAGCCTGGAAGAAAGCTATGCATGTGTAAAAGGTGGATTAGGTGTCCAGTGAGGAACCTTGTCTAGTATGCAGCAAATTGAGGG